TTGTGTTTACTTGTTTATGTTGTGGTTGTGTTTACTTGTTTATGTTGTGTTTGGTTCTGTCCCTTCCTTTGCATCTTTTTCAGAACTGATTTGTCGTCTTCAAAATGTTGACAAACATTTCTGAGAAACGAAGATGGAACTCATCCGTCCTTATTTCTCCCGTAGTTCAGTCCTAAAGTTAGTTTTTCCCGTGCCCCTCGTGTTTGCGTTCCTTGGTTCCATCGTCCGGACCCGGGACAGGTTCTGTTTGAGTTTCGGCTGTGCTGGTGCTGGTGCTGGTCCGCTCTGTGAGACGTCCTCGTTCAGTGGAACAGAATTGTCCCACGTCTGTTCGGTGTCAGTGATGTGATCTTCAGGTCCAGACTGGTCTTCCTGTCTCTCGTATCTTTTAGTCCCGACATTAATCAGCTGTCGGATCAAGTGTGACCCGACGGGTCAGAACAGGACCGATGGCGGCGGTCAGTGAGTCTATCATGTCTGCAGCGCTCCTCTCTGATGAAGCCGTGATCATCACCTCAGTTCATCGTGTTAACGTCTCTTCATGCAGACTGGCACACCGCTCCTTCCTCGCCGGCAGCCGAGCGTCGGACTCTCGCCTGCCGGCGGTCGTCTGCTCAAGGGTCAAGGTTCAAGGTACTTTGTCATTCGTGTCACATGTGGTGCATGAGGTGGAATGAAATTTTGTACTCAAGGTCCCAGTTACACTCAAAAATAGCAAAAATATAAAGTATAAAAAGAAACGGTATACAGAAGTCCCTCGCTACTTCGCGGTTCGTTTATCACGAACTCGCTCTATCGTGGTTTTTCAAAATAAGAGTGGACATGACACATAAATGGCTGATTGATGGATGAGCCACACGATCAGCATTAATTTTTTTAAATTTAAAACCAATTATTTTAAATTATTTAGCACCTGAGTGCAGCCCAAGCTGCAGGAGAAGCTTCTTCATGCATCGTGTCGTATGTCCGCTCTGCAGAGGAGGAGTGGGCGTGGCCAAGACCTCTGGCAGGTGACTGAGTGCAGCCGGAGGCAGGGAGCTGAAAGCATGACATGCTGCGCTCTTTTAGAGCGTTTAGAGTTTTGAAACATTGTTAGAATATTGTTTAAAACAACTTAATATATACCGGTGTGTGTGTGTGTATGCATATAAATAAATGCTAAAATAAACTACTACTTACTACTTGTACTACTTGTACTACTTTTCCTACTTCGCGGCTGTTCACTTCTCGTGGGGCTTCAGAGTATGGATCCCCCGTGATAAACGAGGAGCTACTGTACAAAGATCTAAGATACACACTAAATGCTCTGTGGGTTGAACGGACGGATGGACGTGAGGTGTTCGTTTCGCTGCGTGTGGTTCCGTGTGCAGATTGTAAGGCAGCAGTTAAAAACCTACAGAGCGCTAAAGTAGGCGCTAAAACCAAGTTTTACATTAAACGATCTTAACTTCAGGCCTTGAATGTCAGAAATATGTTCAGATTTCTTTAAGAACTATTTGAGAACCTTTGAAACTCTGAAGGCTGATTCATCCTCTGCGAGACATTGACATATTTGATGTGTGTGAAAGAACTTGTTCTGTGCACGAGCTCCGGCAGAACTTTTTTCTCACGGGACTCGTCATAGAACTTTTTTCTCACAGGGTTCCTTGCAGGACTTTGTTCTCACAGGGCTCCTTGCAGAACTTTGTTCTCACAGGGCTACTGGCAGAACTTTTTTTTCACTGGACTCCTGGCAGAACTTTTTTCCTCACAGAGCTACTGGCAGAACTTTTTCTCACGAAGATCCTTGCAGAACTTTGTTCTCACAGGGCTCCTGGCAGAACTTTGTTCTCACAGGGCTACTGGCAGAACTTTTTTTTTCACAGAACTCCTGGCAGGACTTTTTTTCTCACAAACGTCAAAAATATATCCACTGACAGCATTATTCCGGCGGGAAGGGAGAACATTTGAAAAGACTGAGCTGGGGGGGAAAAAAAAACCCTCCTGACAAAATGGCGATGCTCTAGCTTGTTGCCATGGCAACTGTCAATCAAAAAAAAAAGAAAAAAAAAAGGAGTACCCGGATGTACCAATGACGAATAAATTCTGAACTGGCCAGAGTTACAGCGCACACATAACTCCAGTGGTGTCCCTGTGTGATTTTTTTAACGACGTATGGCCTGTTGCTGTCAGTCGACTGGGATTTAAATAGTAGACTATGGTATTTTTACGGCTTTATGTAATTTAGTTATCTTTGTCAGAGACAAAACATAAAAAAACAGCGTCGTGCTAAATAAAGCAACGGTTGTCCTGTTCGTACAGGTCTTCTAGCCAATGGATAAGTTGCAAACTTGGCCATTAGTGTAGTTGTCTGCATTCGGATCTTTTAGTAATAAACACATATTTCAGTTGAGTTCTTCAACATTGAGGTAACTAACTGCATTTTAACCAAAAAGCTGTTTTAATTTTTGTCTGTTGCCTGTCGGGGAGGTCTGTGCACGTACAGGAACTGACATTTTCTGCACGTTAAAACTCACGTCATGTTTCTCTGCAGGCACGAAGAGAAGAAGCCAAAACCACAGAGGACTCTGATCACAGCCGAAGGACGAGTGATGAACGTCAACGAGCCCAAGTACAAAAAACTGAGACCCGTCGGAGCTTTCGTCTCCGTTTCTGCTTCTTGTAAAAATATTCGTATTAATTTGTTTTAGTGCACAACAAGTTGCTTTGCAGTCTTTGCTTAGGAGGGTCAGGATACAGAAGACTGAGCAAAATGTAGAAGAAGAACGTTCAGGAGAAGCAGGAAAAATACTATAACACTCGAATGCACCACAGATCTCACCGTGGGTCATAAACATCTCATGCAGCCTGCTCATTGACACCTGAACATCTCATAATTCAGATCTGCTGTCGGGAAACTCGACCGCCAACGACAGATTTAACACTTAAATCCAGTTTGTTGTGTTTGATTTTCCTTCTTTTTATCTTCATTATAGTCATTTTGATCAAACTTTAATTTGCACTGTTTATTGATTTGTTTGTTTTTCCTTCATTTTGTTTGTCAGGTTGGAGTTTTCATTGACTGAAGAAGAAGAAACCAACTCGATTGTTTTAGACCTGGCTGTTTACAGGTGAGACGTTTGAACGGAAGTCGTTCAGTTTACTCTGCAGACATCAAAGTGTTTGTTATTACTCGCCGTCATTAAGGCAGGTGAGCACGTGCTTGTGTGTCTGTCGGCAAAATATCCCACAGACCACCGGTGGGTTTTAATAAAACTTTCAGAAAAGAACTTCTGTACCCACTTTAAGATGGCCGCCACAGCTAATCAACCGTAGCCAACATAAAAATGTCTACAACTCAGTTTGAGAGACTTGAGCTCAAATATGGCGTGGTAGTAGTAGAGAGTAATTTAAAACACACACTCTGAGTGCTAATGGATCACATGAATCTTTGTTTAAAACTTGAGGAGGCAACGAGGTGCGCGATATGCATTCCAAAAAAAACAACTATTGCACTACTTTTAGTTACGTACGTTCGTTTGTCACTGCGCCTGAAACATACCTGAAAATTTTAACTTTACTGTATTATATATTTTCTGTTGCTTTTAATTATTTAAAGTACAAAAAGGGAAAAACATAAATGTCAAGTTTAAAAAAAAAAAAGACACATAACAATTTTAAACTAAACTTTAACAGCTAACATTCAAAACTGTATATTTTATACAGTTCGGTTCAGACATTAAGAAAACTGGTCTGTAAAGAATATTTCATCTGTTGTTTGAACTCTGGTTTGGTTTCTTTTTGTGTCTGTCTGTAATTAATCAGATAAATTGGCATTAGCAGCAGTAGAATTAGTGTACCATACCATACCATACCATACCATACCATA